AACAATGATTAATATACCATCAAACTTTTCGGGAGTATTTTGGTCAATTTGTTTCATGTAAAATAGTTTGTTTATATTTTTCATAGATTCGCCTATTTTTTATGAATATACGTTCCAAATTTCAGGTCATTTCGATTTGTTCAAAGAAAATGAAAAATGAAATATTGCCGAACAATTGTGACCGTGTGATGAACTTTAGACAGTGATGATAGTGGGTGAAATCACTGTTCATTTTTTCCTCTATATATATATATATATATATATATATATGAAAATTTACATAGAGTTGAGGCTCGAAACAATCAAATTAGAGCCTACCTCAAAATTTTCACTGCAAAAGGTTGTTTTAATACCAAATATCTTCAAATTGATCATCTCGACTTCAAGATACATAGATACGAGAAAAAAATGGATTTCAAGTTTTGGAAATAGTGCATCTTGTAACATATTTTTGGACCATCAATTTTCAAGATTTTCAAAGTTTTTATAGATCTACTCGATCTGCACTATTCATGAAGCTTTATATTTTATAATTAAAGATGAAAATATAGTTTAAGGCTATCACAAAGATTTCAGTATTGAAACCACATTTTTCATCACGATTTGAAGGTGCACTTTGCTTTGATTATTTAGATCCTCGGCTTTGTGCAAACCGTACCTATATATATATATAAAAGAGAGAGAGAGAGAAAGCTAACAATAGCTGGGCAGCTATAATGAATAGTATTATAGGTAGAATCTCAGCCATCAGATCTTCATCATATGGTTCAAAATGCATATCACTATATGAATTTTAATATTCTTTTTAAAAATCGGATCATAATGAAATTTTAGACGTGATTAAAAAATAGGGCGCATAATTAAAAAATATTTTCCAAAATATAAAAATGATTGAAATACCATTGAAAAATGATAAGGGTAATTTGGTCATTTTAAATTAGTGAAAATAATTTTTTTATATGGTGTGCAATAGTGTTAAGTAAATACACCCAAAATTACATCTTAATAAGATTTATAGAAAAAAATTAAAATTCATATAATAATCATTTGCATAAAAATAAATAATCAATTTTGTTATTTCTACAAATGTTTACCGGATGAACTCATAACTTTTATAGAATGAGTTAAGTTCTTGCCCAAAGAGTAAAAACTTAACATGACCTTACCCCCTCAAAATAAAGATGGGTAAGATCTTGTTGACTTCTTACTTTTTCATAACTACAACCCAAGGTCATTCAATTACTAAAGGGATGAGCCCTATTCAAAATATGATCCATATAAAAAAAATGCCCATTGAATTGATCACATCAATAGCAGTATTAATACCCATATATTTATATTTGAATTTTTTTAATTTTCTTTATTACGATATTCATTTAAGGTAGGACTTCGGCTTGATTTGTCAAATTCAAACAGGGGGATTTTTTTCCTTTCCTTTAAATCAATAGCTATCAGATAATTGCGTCCCCTAGCATGAGGTTTACAAAAACGTTTTACATGAGCCACAGCAGATGCAAGAGCTCACTGACTCGCTAACATCCATATTAAAGATGGACGTTTGATAAAGTGTATTGATCAAAATAATTTATAGACGATGTTAAAAAATAATAATAATAATAAAATAAATAAATTAATAAATAAAAACCTTAAAAAGAACAAGTTAAACTTTAAAAAATTTACATCTTGTCTTTTATCCATGATGACCTTGCCCTATATCATGAATTCCTAAAAATATGGATAAAAAATCCTTTGATGCCCACAACCCAACATTGAAAAATTGATATGTTACAGGTGTATCTTAAGAGTGACAGCAGATGTTAGAGTAGCGTGTGATGCCCTCTTTTATGTGACTCGATGGGGCACAATAACAGTTCTCTCCCTTGCTGATTGGCTCAGGGTGTTGGAAGAAATCAAAAGTTACTACAATATTTATTTGCAAAATCTCTAAAACCAAGTATTCACATGATGTAATTCGGATGCATCAGTGAATTTTTTAAGGGTGCAGTTGGCATCCTTAGAGGTAAGGTGCAGCTTCAAATTTTATCATGGCATATAATTTTGATGTAAAATATTTTTTGGATTATCTCAAAATCTATTTTTATATTTAATTATAAAATTTTAAGTTTAAAAAATGGTTAAAATCAAGTAGATCTATAAACATATGTAATCTTGAAAATGGACGGTGTAGATAATATATTGTAAAATGTACTATTTCTAAGATTTAAAATCTTTTTATTTTTCATGGTCATACATCTTGATGTCAAAATGATCAAAGGGTTTCTCAAAATTAAAACTACCTTTTCCGATATATTTTTGAGGTGCATTCACAGTTCTACATTATAAGGTTGCATCCTTATATAAACTGTTTCCATCTTGCTCTTGTGGAGGTTAATATTTGGGTGCCTCATGTATGAACCGTCTTGCAAGGGGTGATGCTCCTTATAATTTATAGAGAAGAAAAAAAAAAAAAAAAGAAGAAGAAGAAGAAAAGAACATAAGCTCTAATGTATTGCATTCCCTGAAGAAAGTTATTGAGACAAAAAAAGCAAAAACAAAACATAAGATCTAATGTATTGCATTCCCTGAAGGAAGGAGTGAGAAACATGTCATTGTGGTATGATCCATTCAATCTATGGAGAGAATTGTCAAAAAGTGAAATCATCGTGTCTTGATGGTTACCTCAGCACGCAGGTGGAGCAAACCATTCAAGAAGTGGGGGCTGTCATCAGCAATGAATGAGGTCCACGGGGTGTCAAACAAATTTTTAAACCCCGATGGTGGTTTCCCCTTGACAAAGGTTTTTTCTAATGTGCCAGCCGCTTTGAATTTTCTTTTTGGGATTTGATCTGGATGCAAAGGTGTACTGGATGACAGTCTCTGACCCCTCACCCCTCCTACATTCCATGGTAAAGGCCACAACAATGGGTGGAGCTTCCCTGAATTATGTTGCGGTCAAGACTGAGGTAGAAAGCATTGCCGTTTAGGTAGAACAACTGTGAGTCTATGTAATCTTTTGGAAAGAGGGCAGCACACTCCTCTTGACGAAGGTCGAAGAACACCAGGCACTTAGCAGGGTTTGCAGCCAACTCTATCACCTTAACTGGGAGGTGCCTTTTTGCACACTGAGTCACACACTGCTTGAGTTTGAGCTCCTCTGCCTTGACTAAAAGGGCCTTTGCCACTATTTTGAACGCAATGCTGAGGTCTAGTTCTTCGCATTCGAAGACCTCCTTGAGCTTGTGGGTCGACATGTCTGAAAAACGTATGACAGGGGCAAGATGTAAACCCCAGATCTCATGCCGCTCCTCAAGGTTGGGGTAGTTGGCTCGTGCCCACTCAAGGGCAAAATCAAATACGACATCCTCCAACCCGAGGTGCAACTCGTTGCTTGAGAGCACTGCCTTGATACTAGATAAAGGCAAGGCCATTAACTCATCATGAAACCTGCATCCACACACATAACAACATTGTGGTTACATACATTGAAGAAAGAAAAATTAACATTCCATCAGTTTCAAAATCAATCAATGGGTAAATCCAGATATGATTCATTTTACAATTCATCTTATAATCATGGAATACAAATAGCAGATCAACTTACATATACACATGTTCATATTTTATACATTAAGTCCATTTCTATTTCTATCATGGATAAATCAAGGTAAATGACGATTCATCTTATAGAATCCAGATTGTTTCAAGTACTTCGTGATTATTGCAGAGAAATGATGTTGTTTCACTAAGGACCCTAATCTTCATAATCAAATTAGGATTTTGACCCCGTGTTCCCAAACAATTTAGAAATGGTCTACAAAATGATTAACTTACAATTTTCTCCTATAGCATGAAAAGTGTTCATAAACTCATGGAAGGGAACACCATAGATTCTGATCCAGAACTCCAATGGCACCATATGATCTTTCGTTTCATCTATGCAATTCGTATTAAGTTTATACTTGAAATTACGGAAACAAAGTTAGAAACTGATCCCCTCTGTAGAGGGCCTATTCATCAAATTGATCTTGATAATGGCAAGCACATTATTCCCCATTCCAATACCAAGTAAAATAAGGATTGTTAAAATTCTGTTTTACTACATACAGAAAAACCTTTGATACAACTTAAACACAACAAATTATGAACCTGAGCAGCCTGGCTCCAGGACTAAGCATCTCAAAGAGGCATTGATATTTCAAATCTGCTCAAGGAGGACCCCATGCATCTTTATTACTCTGTATATATCTTGTTAAAAAAGGAGGTAACCACTAATCCTATCCTTGAAGCCGTTGTGTTCCTTCAAACTATAGTTTGCTTTGTTCCTTTCTTCCTCTAGTGTTACCTCGTGGGCTACCTCCGCCAATACCAATATATTTTCTGCATCAGTTGTTCTACCATCTATTTTGTACAATTGGCAAAAAAGCAGAAGAATAAACCAAATGAGCTGGAATTGATGATCTCGAGTGATTAATTAGTAACTTATTGTCAATTGTTCATTATTATCCTAAAAAAGGAATTGCTAGTCATAAACTGATATATAAAATTCTACAAATAAAATTATTTCGGGTCCCATCAATTAATCCCCATGCCAGTTGTGCTTGCATAGAAATTCAGAATTGGTATGCAGTAAAAAGTCCAAAATTTGAGATACGTAAGGATGTTGGATAATAATATCTATGAGAATATGATACCAAAGACACTAATATCTTCATTTCTACCAAACTATTATAAAAAGATAGTGGATTTTCCCAGAAAATGGGGAAAACAAATTTATGACATAAGATTTCTAAGTTTTAGATCTTTTTTTCAAATTTTAGCAGTATTATTATTATTGTTATTGTTGTTGTTGTTGTTGTTGTTGTTGTTGTTGTTGTTGTTGTTGTTGTTGTTGTTGCTGTTGTTGTTGTTGGTGGTGTTGTTGTTGTTGTTGTTGGTGGTGTTGTTGTTGTTGTTGTTGTAATTATTATTATCATTATCATTATCATTGTCATTATTATTATTATTTTCCGTTTTTTCTTGTTGTTGTTGTTGTTGTTGTTGTTGTTGCGGTTGTTGTTGGTGGTGGTGTTGTTGTTGTTGTTGGTGGTGTTGTTGTTGTTGTTATTGTTGTAATTATTATTATCATTATCATTATCATTGTCATTATTATTATTATTTTCCGTTTTTTCTTCTGTTTATTCCTTACAAGCTTCTCCAAACAAGTGAGATCATTCCCACAATAAGTTCCAGAGTTTGGGCGTATTACAGTGCGGTACAAGCATGCCCAATCCTGCAATACATGTATGTGTGTGTATTCCGAACAAGATTAGACATGTTAAATGAATAATGAAACTAACACCATGACAAATTAAGCATGAAATTATTTCAAAAAGAGAAAAAGCTTACTCGAACAAATCCTGATATTTTTTAGCAAGAAATTGCTTAGCAGCAACGGCCAAAGGTTGCATTGCATCTATCATTCTATCAGGATGCTCAAGATATAGTAAAGCGCATTCTTGTGTCATGTGGAGATTACCCAGCAGCACGGTACAATGACACACGCAAGAAGCAACATCAAATTTGTCCGCAACCACTAACAAATCCCGCAATAATGCTGGAGCAGTAGTTGACGATAGCAGGCCAGAATACATAAAGTTCAATAGCTCAAAAAGCCTCCATCTCTGGTCCTCATAGAAGATATATCAGGTTTAACAGTAAGCACATATATTGTCTTAAGGATTTCCAATAATACATAAACACACTAATGGTGATCCAACCAATATTTTGGTCATTTAGTTTTGTAGAGAAATTAGGAGTACTCTACAAAGTGATTATGAGATTATAAAATTATGTTTTACTGAGTTCAATATATTCCTAGGATAGAGATTCTAGTTGTAGAACTTCTTTGAGTGCATTAAGTTATTGTTTGACTTTCCACAGTAATTTTGTTTTTAGAAGGCTTTTGGGGGTTTTTAGGCTTTTCGGTTTCATAATCGATCTGAATAAAGTTGGTCTCGAGAAGCCACTCGAAAAAGTATTGGCATTTCATAAAAGCTTTGTACGTAGACAAGCAAACCAACAAAGAATCTTGAAAACAAAAAAAATTCGAAAAATGAAACGAGTGTCTGATGCGACCTTTTAGGCTTCTCTTGGGAGTGTTTCAATTTAGAAATACAAAATTAGTGTCTGATGGGACCTTTAAGGGTTCCATTGGGAGTTTTCACTTTTAGTTTTTTATCTTCTCCTCTTGCATAAACTTATTATGTTCTTAAAATTATTCTACTGTTGTATGCAGTACATGATCTACTTGCATGAATTGTAAAATCTGGTGAAAATCTGCTCTATGGATTGCACAAATCAAAATTGAGGAAGAGTTCTCCCCAACTAGGGGGTGAGTGATGCAGTTATCATTATGAGAATTTCTATTCTTTAGCTTCATCAATAATTCATGGATAGTTTTTATAAAAGTTTATTAGGAAATATCCTATTATAAACTAAATTTTTAGATATTCCTAGGATAAAGATTCTATTATGGGCATTTGGGGGTTTTCACGTAACTTATGGGTTCCCATAGGATTTTTAATTTTAGAAGCGCTTTTGAGGATTTTTAATTTAATGATCATTTTGGTTCCTAAGCCATGAGGACATGATTGGTCTCTCGAAGCTTTTAGCTTAGGTATTAGACTTTATATAAGCCTTAGCATGTGGACAAGAAAGTTACTCAGTTTCTGGGCTTAATAGATGCGATCAAGTTTGACATCTAACCAGTGAGTGGCCTGGTCCAGTCAAAATCAGTTTGAGCAACAATCAAATCAATCTGAAAAGTTTGAAGAAAACATAAAGAATTATTTAAAAAGGAAGAAACATATCCAGTTCAACCAATCCTACAAGCAAGTTCAACCACTCCAACCAGTCGAACGAACATGTCTATTCAATTTTGACAGATTCAAACAGTTTTCTAGCTTAAAATCAGAGTGGACCAGATGTAAGCCCAATTCCCAGTCCAACCAGGTAGACTAACTAGTCTTCTCAGCTCTTTATAACATTGGGTTTAATCCATTTAGAGTCATTTTCATCTCTAACTCCAAAATTTTTTCTTTCATTTTGCATGCTATGTCGCCTTTTTATTGCATTAATTTGTCAAGAACACTTGAATAGCATAAATTACATCACAGATCTAAGCAAATCATCCAGGACACAATGGAAATAGCTCATGCCCAAACTAACCCAAACACAACTAATTTATTTTATTATTATTATTTTTTGGTTATTGTAATTTATCCAAAACATTGCCAATCCATCCATACCCCCCCTGGCTAATCAACTTGAAAATATGAATCACTTCTAGTTTCTATTAAAAAAGATAAGTAAAATAAATGCATAAACTTTCAAGATTTATAAACTTCAAAATTCCAATACAAACCCAAAACATCATTTCGATAATCCAGAATAAATGTTGAGTACAGGAGGCAATAGTTGGATGTGTGATCATCACAAGATAAATAGAAAAATGAGATTAGAAAAGAAAATTTCTGATTTAGAATACAAAAATATTGTGTTTTTATATGATAGTAATAAATGTCTTTGGCACAGCACTTCACATGGGCAAGCATGATTTTGTTATTTCCTTAATACCTTCTCGTATTTGATAGAACTTACCTAAAGCACTGATCCGTAGTTTCACATCTCTCTGCTCTGATTCATGCATGCCATTTGAGAAAAGCTGCTAAAACAAGTGTCAAATTAGAGATTTCATTACTAGGGAATAATAATAATATAACATTCTATCCTACCTGGTAAAAGTAAGGGCTTTTCCCAGTTAAAATTGCGGAGTTGATGTATAACTTCTTATCCCTTAGAACTGTGAAACAATCCTTGTTCCAATGCGGAACATTATCTTTTGCTACCTCAATCTCCTATGATGTAAGACAATAAGTTAACTTAATATATAAAATACTAATGGGATGAAAGATTATTCAAAACAAATAAATAGAACTATAAAGAATAACAAAAAACTATTTACTTATCATGCGATTGCAGGCCAGGGGAAGGAGATTCCCCATCCGATGGCTAAAAGGCCAGAGGGGCAATAGAGATGGAGATCCCTCTCTCCAAGAGCTAAGAGGAAGAGGTTGTGTGGGGAAGGAAGAGGCTTTGAATAGATGAACCAGGGGGAGGGGAAGAGGTTGTGTGGGGAAGGAAGAGGCTTTGAATAGATGAACCAGGGGGAGGGGAAGAGGTTGTGTGGGGAAGGAAGAGGCTTTGAATAGATGAACCAGGGGGAGGGGAAGAGGTTGTGTGGGGAAGGAAGAGGCTTTGAATAGATGAACCAGGGGGAAGGGGGGGGGGGTTGAATCCTTGGTCAGCCTCCTCGTAGGAAAGCTCATATCATAGCTTTCAATCTTAGTATGTGGAGATAGGGATGACTGTAACTATCCCATTACACCCCCCTCCTAAGCCATTTGCCAAATCAAGACCTTGAGCTACTAAAATCTTATAGACTTTCTAAGACCCACTTTCATAAAAATTGCAAGCCACGTATCTAGAATCAAGGGGAAAAGCAAGCAGGTATCCCTCAAAGGATAACATGGCCCAAAGTGGTGCCTCAAAGGAAACAAGAGGAACTTCACCATCAAGAGCCAGGCCCATCCCATTAGCTTATATGATTTACATAAACTACCACATAAACTACACAATGTATGGAAATTGCATTATGTAATTTTGCATTATATGTAAATTACATAATTCCGTTATGTATATTACAACATGTATATGTAACTTACATATAACAAGGCAATGTTGTGTCCTAATATTAAAGCTCAGGCCCAACCCATAAACTCATGGGCCTTAAATTCAGACCAGGCTAGGCCCAGCTTGACGAGCTACTTGAAGGGGCCCAAACTCAATCCATGTCGGACTAGGTCTCTGAGGCCCCTCTAGGGGATGGGGGGAGTGTATGTACAAATATGTATGTGTGTGTGTGTGTGTGTAGAGACAGACAAAGAGAGTCACTTTTCAATATGTGTTGGCATGTGACTGTCAACTTCGGGAGGTGAGTTCACTGAATCTTATAACATAAGTATAATTAGGTTTGATTTGCAGACTGATATATCCTTTTTTGTCTTCTCCATTAGAATGAAATCAGAATTGAAGGATAACTCAAAATCACAAGAAACCAAGGCCTGTGGTATGCACAACGTCTGTGACATGGGAAGCTGCTAGTGGGAGCACAAGCTCTAAAAGAGAAAATCATTCTTTTTTCAATGCTCATTTAGGGAATCCCTCAAGTCCTTAGGAATTTCCTGCCTTTCTTTTTCAGACAATATTATTTCCTTATGTGTAATGTGAACTCAATCCTATAAACTTTCAAAACATTGTCATTTTCCCTTCATTAATAATATGGTGCTTTGTTCAAATTTATTCTTTCTAGTAATCTTTAATGTGTAGAGATCGCACATAAAAAATCTATAACTAGTGCACAATATCTTTCCTTCAATGATGAATGTTCTCGTACTACTTGGCTCAATTGCATGAATATGATAGCAGAAGTGTTTGAAATATTTAAGGTTTTTCATAAAATGATAATTACTCAGTTCATTGCCAATGTCAAAATCTTTAGAACCAATAACTGAATAGAGTGTGCAGAGATTAATATGGACCCAATATTTGCAACAAAATGAGACAATTCATCATAGTTCATGCATGCAACACCACAACAAGACATATTCGGCCAAGGTTGATCACAGAGGCAGAAGCAAGAGAAGACAACTTGATTTCTTCAAATTTCGGTTTCATCTCATATTCTCTTGTATTATATTTCCACGTTATATATCAAGCTTTCCTAATATTAAGCTTTGCGAATATAAATGAAAGAAATTTCTTTTTCTTATAAGGAGTCTTTTTAATTTTTCCTTTCTTTTTATGCATGTATATTTAAGCCTTAATGCTATTACAAAACATGTATAAACATGAATGCGACATGAAAACTCCATGAACATGATCAGGAGCTCTAGAGTTCTAAAATCATCTTCTTGCTGATATTAAACAAATCTCGATTTGGTTAATAAAAACATGCTCAAAGTTAAGAAATACAAATTTCAGAAATACAAATTTCAAGGATTTCCCAAAAACTTTTCAAAATTCTGAGATTTTACTAAAATTCTAAAAATAGAGATTTCAAAGGAGCTCGTTACTTGAGGTGTTAGAAGCTAAATATCTTAAAGCTTGAAATCTCTGAGTCATAATTAGTGTACCAAACTCCACTAATAAATTATGTGAACATTCTTTTTCCAAGATTTAAAACAAGAAGCAAAAGAATATATGGGAGACATTTTATAAAAGTTTCTTCATGTTTAGGGATAAACGTGTTGCATCATAAAATAAAGAAATCAATTTATGTTGCATCAAATCCAAAATGTATTTAACCCCATTTGAGATCCTTCATCTTTTTTTACTTTTCTCGTATAGTTAACCCAAATTGAAATCCTTGGTTTTTTTGTATCGTCACACTAATATAGGAGGTTTTCTGAGCACTGTGCCTTCAACAGTGCATAATTTTCGCTCATAGCTTAGAAAAAGCCGTATTTGTAACATGCGGAAAATTCATTCGAAGCTCCACAATATTCACATCCATCTGCACTAGTTGCGAAATCACTTTGTCAAAAGGCCTCTAGAGGCCCGAAAAAATCCCCATGAAATTAGGGGTAATTTCATCATTTTGAGTAGTTTGGACTAGATTGTCTTTTCTTGCTTTCTTCCTTTTTATTTATAGTTGTAATTTAAAGTTAGAAATATATGGCCCAGATTGTGCTTTAGGGAGGGTTAAGGATTAAAATAGGTTGTGATTAACGGGTGAGGTTCGTTCTTAAGTTCTATACTTAGGGTCTCTAGGTCTATCCAAAGGTGTGGCTACAGAGCTTGGCTTGTAAGCTCCCATGGCTTGATCAATCCTCCATTAACTAGAGTTAGAGTAGGTTGACTCCCAAAGCGCCTTGGATGCGGTAACTATGTACAATTACCCCTAGCGGACCTTGTGGAGGCCACGACCATGGTGGTGGCTTTTAGGCCTACGAGGGAGATTCGATGACCTGTTGATGCGATTTGAGGAACAAGCATAGGAGGTGTGCCAACATGTTTCAAGCAGGGTTCTATTGTCCATAAGAGTGACGAATCAGAGCCTAGAGAAGAGAACCCTTTCTATAACCATGGGAAGATGAAGCTCGACCCTGACCTGCACCTTGAGGAGTGACAAGCGTGCGCCTTGGAATGAGCAGATAAAGGCATCCAGGTAGATGTGCCTGAGTTCTCTAGTTGGCTACAACCAAACGACTTCTTAGATCGGCTTGCTAGTGTTGAGACATTTTCCATGTGGAAGGAGCTATCCAAGCCTGAGGTGCATTTTGTATCCACCTAGCTAAGGGACATGCCCTCGTTTG